TTTAGTTCTTTGATGCCTGATACCTGATTCCTTCGACACCTCGTGATTACACAGGCTGGTGTGCTTCTTCCATGTGGGCTTTGTTGCTTTTCAGCTAGATGGCCGCTTGTTTAAGTCTTTAAGACCCCAGATGCTATATCTTTTGATAGCTGGGCACCATGAGCTTTCTTCACCACATTTGTTTATGCACCTGCTTTGTCTTCAGCAATCATGTCGGGAAGGTGAGCACACAATGATATGATTTTTCTTTATGGGAGTAGAAAGTCCTGTCTTTCTCATGAAGAAATGAATGCTCACACTACTTCTTTTATGTCATCACTAGCTTTAGTGGCAGAAGCCCTGGGGGTGGAATGGTTTATGCGCTGGGTTGTCAAAGGCAAAGTGGGCAGTTTGAAACCAGCAGCTTCTCTGAGGGAGAAAGATGATCCTCCTGTGAAGCGTTATAGTCTCAGAAACTCACAGCGGGGAGTCCTACTCTGTCCTACAGGGTCACCATGAGTTGGAATCCACTCGATGGCAGTGAGTTTGGTTTGGTTTGGGAGTTTTAGCGGTTGGTAGGTAAGTTGGGTTAATAGTTATATCACCTGCTGTTACTTGTAGATATTGGTAAGATGGTTCTTAAGGTGTTCTGTTGAAGGATGAATGTGACACCCATCCTTGAATTGGTCGTTCCTGGAATGATGCACCATATATCGCCCAATTAAAAATGGCCAACCCGAGTCCGTTGCACCATGTGAAAGTTGGGCATTGAATAAGGAAGACGGAGGAGAACCGATGCACGGGAATCACCGTGCTGGCGGGAATATGACAAGTGCCGTGCACAGCCGAGAGAGCAACGGCTTTGGAAGCAGTACGCCAGACCGTGCTTTAGAGACAAGGCTGGCAAGACTTCACCTCATGTACTTTGGACCTCTTGTGAGGGGAGGCCGGTCCCAGGAGAAGGCGTCCTGCATGGTAGAGGGGCAGTGGCAAAGAGGAAGGCCTTCAGTGAGGCGGGTGGGCACAGTCACTGCCCCCCTGGGCTCGGACAAAAGAACAGCTGTGAGGGTGGCCCAGGGCCAGACCGTGCTGGGCTCTGTTGGGCTGGGGTTGCTGTGAGCCGGAACTGCCTGGCCAGCACGAGCCACATGCCTCAATACCGAGATGTATTACGTCTTCCCGATGATTCCCAACCTTCCTGGGTTCCTATGTTGTACATTCCACGTTCGGGTGATTGATGTATGTTGGCAACTCTTTCTTCTCGTTGTGAGTGATGCGGGCAGGACGCACAGTGAGCAGTGTGGTTTGGGTGAAGGACGTTGAAAGTTCTATGACTCGCAGAAAGACAAGCAAATCTTTACGCCTTGATGTTAAGACCGGGCTCCAACTTACCACTTGTGAGCGGGGCGCAGGACGGAGCAGTGCTTCCTCGGGTTGAACACAAGCTTGACTTGAGTCAGAATTGAGTCAACAGTATTAAGACAGTTCTCGTTGGAAAAAAAATTTATTTTAGGAACCAAGCCAAGGAACAAATGGGGCGCTCTCTCTCTTTCTGTGTGTGTGTGTGTAGTCTTTGTATAGCTTTATTTTAACAACTAGGCATTTGAATCCATAGTGTTGACTTTTCTAGCACATATAGTCCTTTGAATTATGCTGGCAAAGAATATCGAACGTACTGTGGACGGCAAGGAGAATCGCCAAGTCTGTCTCAGAAGAAGTCCTTGCCGCAGCCTTGCTCCTTAGACGTGAGAGTGAGGAGACTTCAAATCAGGCATTTTGGACATTTGATAAGGGGGGCCGGTCCCTGGAGAGGCCATCATGCTTGGTCAAGCAGAGGGTCAGGCAGACAGGAAGGCCCTCATGGGCATGGGTGGGCACAGCGGCTGCAGCGCTGGCCTCCATCATAACAAAAGTGTGGACGGCGCAGGACCGCCGTGTTTCATTCTGTTGGACTTTGTGGGGTCACCGTGAGTCGAAGTCAACTTGAGGGTCCCTAAAAGCAACGATTGATT